GACAGTTTTTACACCATCAAACGCAGATGAAACACAACTTGACACTGGCATATACTCTCTCTACCTCAACCCAACAAAAAAGACATATATGAAGTAAACTTTTTGGGGTCGTAGTAATTTCGCACATCTCGAAGCTGTATAGTTAAGATTAATGAGTTTCGTGGTCACTAATCTTCACAGACTTTGTGGTTTAGGCCATTTCCGGCCCTTTGGCGTACAACTTGAGCCTAGTTTCACGGTTGCTAGGTAGATCTATCGGCCGCTATTTATTATATTTCAACGAGAGGATTTTTTTATGAGTGAGGTCATTAAAAAAATTGATGAGCCGTTCGCCGTTATTCAATCATAAACTGAATGATTGACAGAGGCCAGCCAATTCAGAAGTGTGTTCTTTGTCCTTTCAGATTAATCTTCCAAGGTTGTTACCAGTTTAACGACCACGAAACGATGAAAGAATCGATTGGTCTGGAAAAATTCGATCCGCGGTACATTTGTTCGGTAACGAAGCCCTTTGTCACATCACCAACCCCACATGTTACATCACTGTTATAAACAGTAAGCACATTGGTAGGAGGAAGGTAAACAACAACAATTTGTAAAAAACTTTGACCATATAAATCGTGTGGTATATAGCGTTAAACTTAATATTACTGGATGTATGTCCATAAAAAAGCAGTAAGAGGGCCCTCGTGGTTTTTGAAGTTCAATGAAATAGTAGGCAGTGGTTGGCGAACTACGAGCAAAACTTCGGCCTCAGGCGGGACTCGAACCCGTACCTGTGCTATCCGAAGCTCTTATCCTTCACCCCCATCTTATCCCTTACCCCTAGACCGAAACCCCCCTTGCCCTCGCCTTCTTGTCTAAGCAGAGTTATTGATTGAACTTTTTTTTCATATTTTCATGACTCTCTCGATACTTTTTTTCCGGCTCACGTTGCATGACAAGGAGCCCCACTAGGAAGTCCCTAAACACTCGAGCGAGCTCTTAATGAGAATCGGATTTCCTGCTGTAGCCCCGCCGCATCGACAGACGGCCGTGACACAGGCACTTGATGAGTACTTCTTCGACACGACATGTAATCTTGTTGATGATGGCGGCGACGTGCGTTTACATACGTTACTCTCGTCTGAATCTGATTAGACTTATGAGAAAGAGAAAGTCCACGAGGCGAGAGATGTGGGGCTTGGATTCAATGATTTGCGCGCTTGAGTAGCTTTAAGTGCAGTGGGGCGGCCAACAGCCCCACATAAGATTGAACGCTCCTTGAACGGACAACAGGTGCACCGAGGACATTACGATGAAATATGCTTAGTGGCAGAACAAGTATCGGCGTCCGACAAGAGGGGGATGAGGAATGGATGAGGAGCGGAATAGGACAAGAATAGGGAAAGATCAAGTGGACCAGTGGAAAAGGGCGGTGTAGAGGGATAAACTGGTGACGCTCCTAAGATGGGTATAATTCTGATCGCAGACCGTATTCATAGAGCTAAAACTAGCAGTCTAAGTTCGAAGCAATAATCCCTGGCACCTCGCTATAATCTAGACAGCTGACTCCATTAAAATTATTATTTTTTTATCGTCGCACCAGCTATTCTATCTCTGGAGTTGAACTCCCAACACTAAACGTGTAGTTTAGACCGAAACACTTCAGAAAGTCCTTACCACACGAAAAATACATCTCCAAGTGGTATACGCCGGGACAAATCGGAGAATGAGGAATACCCAGGTAATCGGTGCCATACAGAACTTCTGAAAGCACCTTTACCTTTAAACCATTGTGTTCAGCTACCAGCGAGGTGATCCCAGCACAAAACCCTCGCTTGTTAAACCGTTACCCCTCAATTCTTTGTGCTCTAAGGTACTTAATATGTTTATCGAACCTTCTAGTATTACTCAAATCTTCACCCAAGGAGATAAACATAAAAAAGAAGATATTTTGTCAACAGGAATGCAGTCCGATCGCAGAATCTTCGTACAAATTCGTCTTAAACCAGTAAAAGGCAGCCGATGTCCCGTGAATAGAAAAAACCAACAAAGAACAAAGGAGTACGCAACAACAACAACAACAGGAGATGAAAAATACCATGACCATGGCATAAATGCAACAAAGACGCATCCCGTTCACGAAAGAAGAATGTCTCGATGAGCCAAGACCGACAAATTACTTCCCGGAACTCGAGGCAAACACTTGACGTAACAGTCAACAGGAATTTCCCAGTAACCATGTTTTCCTGGCGATTTCATTACTACCTGGTAATTCAGTTTTCTACGCACTATGATTGAATAATATTTTACCCGAGGGAGTTTCCTTGTCAATTTTTTCCGACAGCGTAATGTACCTGTGGGTCCCGCTCTGTCGATAACGCAGGAATAAGTAAGGTTGGGTAGGGTAGAGCCGGGTCAATCGAATTTTTTTCACCCCGAAGTTGATTTACTTGTTGGCACATTGACCCAAGAGGGGCAGAACCACCCAAAAGAACTGGCTCGCCCAAACCATTCTCCATAAAATTATGAAAAACGCTCAATCTATTCTGAAAAAGTCGAATACTTGGAACACCCGGGAGAATGGGGACAGGATCTGATCTCCCAGTTGATGAAGGACATTCTACATAAACGCTTGCCCACAGGCTTCTATCACGCATAATGCGAGTGGAATTTTCAGTAGATTGCTGCCCTGAAATCTTCTCGTTTCCATGAAATGGCTACAGCTAATCTAGGCTGATTCCAATGAATAGGGAGAGCTTCATCACGCGATTTACAGCTACATTCAAATAACTTTAATCACAGGACACAAGCTGTAATTAAGGAAGCCACACTCGTTATAAGGCTGCAATTAGATGAATGANCCAATGAATAGGGAGAGCTTCATCACGCGATTTACAGCTACATTCAAATAACTTTAATCACAGGACACAAGCTGTAATTAAGGAAGGCACACTCGTTATAAGGCTTGCAATTAGATGAATGACAAAAAAATTAATTTCACATTCCAGTCAAGTCAAGCCAGTCAATCTCTTTGATGCGATCTCTACAGAGGGTTCGTACTAAAAACCAAGAGGGCAATCACCGAGGGTTTTTAATACTTCATAATGGCCATCTGAAGTTACCAAAAACCACTTTCACGTTTCGTGAACAGTCTGCTTAGCATAAGTTAAAGGCGAATCAATGGTGGGGAGCAGCAGAGTTCGGTTTCCTTCTCAAGAGTACTTTTCAAGAAACGTTTACTCGTATCATACCATTCAAAAAAGTAACCATTTACTCGTCTCATACCATTCAACAAAGCAACTAAAGCCTTTCAAAAAATTTAAAATTCCGTTTTGCATTCAACGTCCGTGATCCACGCCGACATTTCACGGTAGTTTCGAGCCATTCTAATTCTTTATTAGAGGATTCTACCAGCAATCCTTCCTGCGTTTGAAGCAGGATGTTGTTATTGAAAGAAAGGCACCAAACCCCTATCTTACACCTACGGCACCACGGCATTGGAACGACGAAGGGAGTTTGAGTCATCAAGAGCACACTGAAGAAGAACACCATCATCGTCAATACTGTTCGATGCGGTCTGCTCCCTTCGCATGAGGAACACGGCCTCTGAAAACACTTTCGATCGAACGTCCCCTTATTACGAAAAGGATCGGTCATACTCGGTGGTGTTAAGAAGGATCCTGAGTTTAGCACCCGCACACTGAGAAAGACCTGAATGCGGTCAACCAACAACTATTGGTCACAAGCAAGTACTCAGTTGCGGAAATGGTGATGACTTCATAAATTCTCCGCGTCTTGATGAAGACGGACAAACTGACGGTTGGCACGATGGTCTCAATCT